ATACCTCCAACCTTAGAGCAAAGCAAGAATAATAAAAAGCAACATCTCGCAGCCAAATCACGTATTCATTCATTAACACCAAATCACGTATTCATTCATTAACACTAAGTCATGTATTCATTCATTAAATCCCTTATAGTGATCTGGCATAAGTAATAAGATGGTTCCCTTCATCATTTACACAAAAAATAGTTTTCAAGACAGATACATGTTCTGATTCTCCTTCAAATAGCTACCTGGGTTGTCTGGCTTATTGGGCTATCAGAACAATTGCTTTTGCTGTAACTTCATTCTTGAGATTATCTGAGATTCTCCAAATGTACATGCAAACATAGGTAATACAAAACAATTTGAAAAATGCAAAAGACACAGATGAAACTTATTTTTCCTAAGAACACTAAAAAAGCATTATCTTATACTTTCTCTCTGAAGTGGTAGAGACATATAAATCCCTTTCAGAGAGAAGAGCAATGAATCAGAGAATTGAAATATCTTCATTTTAACAGTATGTTTAAGGTTACAGTGCTAGATTTTTATATTTGAACTATATATTTCACTCATATTTGACTTTATTACCATTTGCCCTATAATTGAACCAGATAAATAGTATTGTTAACAGAAATCCTCTGCCTTAACAAATAAAATGCATAGTGTCTTAACAAGTAAAATAGATAAATGAATTCTAAAGGCAGATGTAAATATTGGTGAACAAATGCTAATGTGTTTCCAATTCATTCTCTGCATTATCTTCTCCTATTTGGTACAGAAGAAACCTATTATTTATTTCTAACCAACACGATATGGCAAAGCTGATGACATGCCATTCTTGTGATTATTTTTATAAACATAAACATACAGATACACATGCATGCATGCATGCATGCATGCATACATACATACATATATACACACATTAGCATGTATCAGAAATACTGGATTTTTACTGTCAGATTTAGTAGGCTTCTGTCTCCAAAATATCAACAATAACAATAGTGACAAAATCAAAGAAATTTAAAAAAGAGTTCATATAAAATAAGGTGGGAAGGTGGCTCAGTGGTAGAGTGCTTGCTTTGCATGCATGGGGCCCTGGGTTCGATTCCACATAAGCAAAAAGAAAAAAGCCAGAAGTGGAGCTGTGGCTTAAGTGGTAGAGCGCTAGCCTTGAGCTGAAGAGCTGAGGGACAGTGCCCAGGCCCAGAGTTCAGGCCCCACAACCGGACCCCCCAAAAAATAAAAAATAAAAATAAAAATGGAGCACAGGGCTGGATACAAGACTTAAGTTGTAAAGTACTTGCCTAGCAAGTACAAGGCCCTGAGATCAAACCTCAGTATCACCAACAATTAAAAAAAACATAATAGAAACTATAAAAGTGAGCAAATTTTGGAATAAAAAAGCCCAGATATAAAGCGATTGGTGAAAAGAAAGGTGACATAACTTGGAAAAGATTTAGAAATACAAGAAAATATTTCATAAATAAAGACTAAAAGTAACACAAGGACAAATAGACATAATGAGTATTACCCAGAGGAGTGGCTAAATGGAGACATTGGACCTGTTACTGTTTTCCCCATGTAGAAAATATACCACCTCTAATCTGTCCAGCTATTGAGGAGAAAAGCACATATAATCCATCAGCTAACTACTTCCACATGGAAATTCTAATTTCTAGGAAATTAGATGTTCTCTGAAGGAAAACAGATGTTCTCTGAATTAGAGAGCAGAGCAACAGCAGTGTGGAAATAGAAAACAACCCTGCCTTGGTTGAGGAGGGTAACAGCAGACCATATTTGCAGAGAACAGTTGTTAAGTTTCTACCTATTGAGAAAGCAAAGGAAAAGATAAGCATAAAATGTAAAATGTTCATCTCTTTAAGCAGATCCAAGAGTTGAGATCATATGTAGTAGATAGACAGAGAACTGCTAATAGAAGCTTGAGTAATGAAAACTCAGGAGACTTTCGTCTAATCCCCATTCCTTGAAAATAGTTCTTCAGCACAGGGAGTCAGAAATTTCTATAGCTTATTCCTCATGGGGTACCCATAGAACAGAAATACTATTTTTCTGTTATTTGAGAGGTAGAGAGAGGTGATCAATGGAGATGGCCAATGTGTGTGGGAGGGAGGCTACAAGTAGGTACTGCTGTGAGCAGTTCTCTGTACAAGTGATGGAACCTTCTTGAATGAGAGTGATTAAAAATTCCCAACTCTTACTCTTTGGAGATTCAGCACTGTGACAGCCCTTCTTAGACTGAGGTAGAACCACCAACATCTGCTTTCAGGTGAAACTTTAGTGAAGAACTTACCATGAGGGAGAGGATTGGGGCAGGTAACCCAAGTTCAATACCAAGAGAAATGAAGAGGATATGGGGCTAAAGTTTGTGTTAACGAAGCATTCCTCTGAGAACCAAATCCATTGCTAGTGCTACACCTTAGGGATTCTATGAAGAGCTTAAAAGTTAATGAAAACAGGGTTGGGACGGTGACTCAGTGGTAGAATGCTTGTCTTGCATGCATGAGGCCCTGGGTTTGATTCCTCAGCACCACATAAACAGAACAAGCCAGAAGTGGTGCTGTGGCTTAAGAGGTAGAGTGCTACCCTTGACCTGAAGAGCTGAGGGACAGCAGACAGGCCCAGAGTTCAGGCTCCACAACCAATAAAAAAAAAGTCAATGAAACAATTTTAACCTTGGGTCAATCTTAAATCAGTCTCAGTCATTTTAGGCCCACAATCAAGCAACAGTGATATGGGATGGAGTCACCCATTCAGTCTTCTCTCTCTCTCTCTCTCCAATTTCAGTCAGGCCCTTTTGTTCTAAGGAGTGATAAATTGACCCATCAGAGATGGTATCGTTCTTGGGAATAAGAATAGAATTGATTCACTTAAGCTGACCAAGTAGAATTTAAGAGATACATGGTCTAGAATAAATGTAAAAAAATATTCATATAGTTATCATTCTATAATGTAGATTAAGTCTTTCTTTACAAAACCCCTGGCTGCTTCCATGTGATTTTGAGTTAAAGAAAAAGAGATACCCAAACAAAGAAGAACCTGCTAGATGATTTCAGATAAGACTCAGACTTGGTATGATTGAATCAGGTTAGCTACACTTTACTAAATACTGCCCTAATAAGGATTATTTTTATCTGGATATCCAGCAGGGCTCATTTGCCCCTGTGCATGAGTTGGGGGAGAGGGGACAGACCTCCATAAGGGAAGTAGCCACTCAGCTGTCAGAAAGTGGCGACAGTTATTAATGTACCCACCTAAGGCAAGTCATGAGCAACACAGATGGGGAGAAGGGAGTATGCTGGCCTTCTGGACAAAGCAGCCTTGGAGAAGGGCTGTGATACATGGAAGCTGGTCAGGTCCTCCCTCCCTCCTCCAAGCTCCATGAGACATTGGGCTCAGGGGCATGTCTACTATTCAGCTGAGCCTTGGGAGGTTTCACATGCTCCACAGTATAATAACCAAGTCAGTACACACCAGCACAGTTGGAAATGGAAGATAATAAGCATAATCTCCCTAATAAATTCATTCGTCAGCAGTACAATCTTGAAAGTGGTTTGTACACTCAGACCATAAATTAAGCCTTGTTTACACATTAACTTCTGACATCACTCAATAAATATCCCTGCAATGCTAATGGGATCAAGAGTTCTTCGCTTTTCCAAAAGACCCTGATTTTCCTTTGCTTCATTATATTAATACAGACTTCAGAGAACATTTTTATGGTGTAACTTAAAAAAAAAAGGAATGCTTAACCCAACTTCCATAGGCACTTTTATTTTTAAAAGACAGACAGTGTACACAGTGCCTCAGGAGCCTTTGTTCATGGGAACAGATAACTCCCAGGCTGTCTTTGTAGGGATATTAAAAGAGCTATCTATCCATCACCTAAATGGTACTTTTGGAGTGATCTCCTTTGATTCCCAGGTCCAGACAGCAACTCTCTATGCAATTGGTTTCTCTGACTGCCCTAACACATGTTCCTTAGTGTGGGACAACATCTCCAGGGAAATATTAAGCTTAATTTCACATGGTCCATCCAATTGCCTTGCATTCTCTGTATCCAGAGCTCTGCAAAGATAGTCTAGAGATATACAAAGAACTCCTGGTAAGTGTCTTTAAGACCCTAAGTCCTTTCCCTCAGCCCCTAGTTTTACTGTTTCTTCCCCTTCCTTGCACTGCTTGTTCAACTGAGAACATTTCATTTCCTTCCCTACTCCATAGTCTGTTCACTGTGAATGCTGCATACATGGTCAGACTACTCACCTCTTTAGTTCCCCCCGCCCCATTTCAGTCCCTAATCACATCCTTTCAAATTGTATTTACCCTGATTTTGGATTCTCAATTTCTAAATCTGTGATCTAAGTAGGCCTCTTTTCTTTATAAGCACTCAACTTCAAGTATTTTGTTATACAACAGAAAATGGACCAATGAAATTCTACATGCTTTATTTCTGTACTTGCTTGGCATCTATTTACATAACTAATCATGATCCTTCTTGACTCTTGAAGGCATTGAATTTAAAGTTCCAAACCTGGAAGCTTTCCCAGTGCTTTTTGTCATTGGACAAGGGATGAGAGGGTTCCCTCAGTTTCCCAATTTCCACAGAAAAAAACTCACAGGAACTTGATATCTATCTAAAAAAGAATCTAAAGGTGTCTCACAATAAGAAAAGTATTTAAAAGGTAGAAAAGTATTTAAAAGTTATAAAATTTAGCAAGGGTTTATTTTAGTATAAGATAAAGTAGGAAGAATTTTTTTTAAAGCGGAGAAATGTTTTGTTTTCCATGCAAGAAATGGGGGGGGGGGTAAGGTCTCAACATGATGGTTATTATCTATAGCCTTTACACTTCATATATAGAGTCAGGTCATCTAGGAAGCACTAATTATTAAACAATGGTTCTGGGTGGGCAAGTTGGGTACCATTTGTTATTCTGAAACATGGAAATGTGACCTAGGAGTCTCATCTAACTTATAAGGACAATAGGTGAATTTTAGGACTTCCCTTTGCCATATAAGCCTTCTATTTCTCTATCTACTAATTTGGGAAGCATTTGCAGCTTCTTAACATCTCCAAGGAGAAGGCTGATGCAGACAGCTCCTATCTGTCTCCTACCCTTATAACCTAACATCTAAAAGTAGATGGTAGGAAGGGAGTTTATTGTTCTGGTTTCTCAACTTCCTGGTTCCAATGTCTGAGTTTGGCCCTATTAATATTTAATATTTTTTGTTCCTTTATCTCATCCATCTATCCTTCAGCTCTGATAAGTCTGATTCTAGTTCTTACTTTCTTCTTCTTCTTCTTCTTCTTCTTCTTCTTCTTCTTCTTC